GATCAATCAAAGCGCGACCCACTTCAGCGTGCAAATTGGATAACAGGCTTTACAGCAGCGGATTTACTGTTCGGAAGGACGAAAGAAACGTCCTATCATCGTGCTAAAGCAAAACATAATGCTGTCAAGTCATTGGTTTCATTTTAATCATTGCAAAAAAATAAAAAAGTCACTAAATCCCAAATGATTCGGTTTTTAAAGTGAATTAATGACGTGTAAAACTTGTAATATGTATGCGCACATTTGCTGATATAGTTATATATATATATATGTGTGTGTGTGTGTGTGTGTGAGAGTGAGTGAGTGTGTGTGAGTGTGAGTGAGTGTGTGTGTGTGTGAGTGTGTGAGTGTGTGAGTGTGTGAGTGTGTGAGTGTGTGAGTGTGTGAGTGTGTGAGTGTGTGAGTGTGTGAGTGTGTGAGTGTGTGAGTGTGTGAGTGTGTGAGTGTGTGAGTGTGTGAGTGTGTGAGTGTGTGAGTGTGTGAGTGTGTGAGTGTGTGAGTGTGTGAGTGTGTGAGTGTGTGAGTGTGTGAGTGTGTGAGTGTGTGAGTGTGTGAGTGTGTGAGTGTGTGAGTGTGTGAGTGTGTGAGTGTGTGAGTGTGTGAGTGTGTGAGTGTGTGAGTGTGTGAGTGTGTGAGTGTGTGAGTGTGTGAGTGTGTGAGTGTGTGAGTGTGTGAGTGTGTGAGTGTGTGAGTGTGTGAGTGTGTGAGTGTGTGAGTGTGTGAGTGTGTGAGTGTGTGAGTGTGTGAGTGTGTGAGTGTGTGAGTGTGTGAGTGTGTGAGTGTGTGAGTGTGTGAGTGTGTGAGTGTGTGAGTGTGTGAGTGTGTGAGTGTGTGAGTGTGTGAGTGTGTGAGTGTGTGAGTGTGTGAGTGTGTGAGTGTGTGAGTGTGTGAGTGTGTGAGTGTGTGAGTGTGTGAGTGTGTGAGTGTGTGAGTGTGTGAGTGTGTGAGTGTGTGAGTGTGTGAGTGTGTGAGTGTGTGAGTGTGTGAGTGTGTGAGTGTGTGAGTGTGTGAGTGTGTGAGTGTGTGAGTGTGTGAGTGTGTGAGTGTGTGAGTGTGTGAGTGTGTGAGTGTGAGTGAGTGTGTGTGTGTGAGTGTGTGTGTGTATCCCAGTCAGCAATTGATGTTGAAAAGGCATTAAATTGACATCAAAAGTGACGTCAATAAACAGGTCAAATATGCAAATCAAACTGACGTCAAAAACTTGGCATTGCGTGGATTTGATGTAAACACATCAAACATATTGGCCTACATATACATTAAACCAATTTCAGTGTGGGATTCACTTCCTATTTTCACCCACTGGAAGAAATTGCCGTCCAAACTTAATTTAAAATGATGTTATATATGATGTCAAATTGGTATCAAGATGCCTGATGGGTTATATATATATACAAATATTTATCCAAAAGATCCTAAAATAGATGTGTATAAGCAGCACATATAGGATGTGTGGAGTGCAGCGCAGTGCACTGGAGCTGTTTAAGGTGAAGGTGTGACGTCACGGCTGCCGCTGTGATTGATGTGTGAGCTCAGTCGCGAGTGACGTCACGGCCGTGTCCCGCATACTGATGATGAGCAGCACTGACACAAGCACGCTCCAGGTTCAGTTTAAGATGCTTCTCTTCACACGAGCTGGTATTGTAAAGCAGTGCAGCTGTGCATTATAGAAAACTCAGTATCAAAGTCTGAAAGAAGCGTCTCGTCCACTCAGTGCTTGTCTGTATTGAGCAGCAGCAGTAAAGCAGAGCCGTCTTTCTGCGCTTCTGAACACTATTGATAAAGCACACAATGCAAACATCATCATTCATGTGTCTGGATACAGTGGTTCTCCACCAGCAGGATGTGCAAGCGCTATTTCTATCTCTGTTTTCCAGAATAAGCCAATAATTAATCATACAGTGCATTACAGTTTCTTCATGAGAGGCATGTGAAACCATCGTCCATCATGAGGCCCAGAACAGATGCAGAGGAAAACACACAGTTTAACACTCGCTCATATCAGACCTGCGGAGTGTACTGTGTCTGGCTGGGAATCTACACAACATTCATTAAAGCCTGAGTTGAGTTTATAAGGTTTTTATATGCTGTAGTGATGCCCAATCCCCATTTTACACAAAATCAAGGAATTGCATTTGAAATGAAGACAATGGAGCTTAAGTTCAGATGATTCTTAGTAGAAACTCATTTTATTCAAATTAAAGGCAGTATATTGTTTGGATAGTGCAAAGTGTAATACACATGTATAGACAATTAAAACATTACAATAGCAAGATATTATTCCAAATAAACATAATGAAAACATTAAAATTAGGGCAAACAGAAAGAGCTGAAATAGTGGTTTTCCGGGGTATTTCTCGAGATGAAGAATGTAATATTTGCTGGTTTTGTGGCAGATGCTGTGAAAGTTGATGAGCAGCTGTTTGCATTTCTGAAACACATTCAGAGCATCAGTGCGGTTTGTCTGTGGATGATTTTATGCTGGATTATTCACAGATTGATTTTTTTTTTAGATTAATTTTAAATATTTGTAATGCTTTTTAAGCATATCAGTATGGTCAATTATGAGAAACCTTCTGTGAATATCTGTAGAACAGTATTAAAACCGATTCACTGCACGATCAGGACATGTTTTCATTCAAATAACACTCTGCTCCACAAATAATGATTTATCAGCTTCAGTATTTTATCCGGATCAGATCCACCCTGTTTTAAAAACAGTCTATTATGCTGCTTCATGATGCGAACTGGAATTTGTTATCATATCATTTTAATATATTACCCAAAACATGAACACACTTTGTGTTACTGCACTTTATTTTTTATTTAATTAAAAAAAAAAAAAAATTCATTTTATTTTATTTTGTATTTCATATTATTTTATTGCATTGCATTGCTTTTTCTTGCATTTTATTTTATTGCATTGCATTGCTTTTTATTGCATTTTATTGCATTGCTTTTTATTGCATTTTATTTTATCGCATTGCATTGCATTTGATTGAATTGCAACAAACATTAAAGAACCAAGCAAGAACACGTGGGGGATACAGAAGAAAAACAAACAAATAAATAAACCTTACGATATATATATATACACTTTTTACTTTATGCTTTTTATTGGAGGTAGTAATGATAATAGTAAACATAAAATCAAAAGTGAATACTAAAGTCCAAGACATCGTCTCATCAGAGTGAAAAAAAACCTTAATGACAGAAATATTACACAGATGGAAGAATACAAGAAGGATGGTGAAGCCATAAGAGAGAAATCTAGTTTGTTTTGTTTTAAAGGGTCATGAAACCCCAGACTACTTTTTCTGAGATTTTAGCTGAGGTGTTTGTGTTGCACATCACAGAAGACAATGTTAGCATCCGATACTTTTAACTGTTGGAGCAAACTGGTTAATTTTAAGCTTTTTTGCGCTATTTTCATCTTCCGGGTCTAAAATCTTCATTGTGTTGACGTCACAATTTGTGACGTGGCAATGGACTGTAGTACATCTATGACGCGTCGGTGTCTATTAAATTATTCATGAGACTGCGTGTTCTTCTCCTATGAGAAGACGCCTCGCTTAATTATTCTCAACAGCATGTGTTGATTTGCTGTGACAGATGCTTCAGAGTCTGTGAGATGACATTGCGCACAATAACTGAGAGAAACGTTCATGGATGGAAGAAGAGTGTTTGTTTTTGCTTTGTAATAAGAGTTTTAAACGCGATTCATTCACAGTAACCGTTTTTACAGCTCTGTCACACAACCCATCAAAAGGTTTATTTATATAATCGCCACAGAATAAGCCTTAAAAGTTCTCAGGGGTGCAACAGCGCGTTCATATATATATGTTTTCGATGCAGAGCGAAATGAAATTGTCTGAAAGCTAAGTTGTGTGTGTGTTATTTTTTTTTTAGCATTTTTTTAAAACTGTGTTGAGAACTAACCAGTGCTGAAACGCGGGGTTTCATGACCCTTTAAATTGACTTCTTTTTGTTTTATTATAAAACAAAAATAGTTTTTGCGGAAGTCTCGTACTTCCGCGGGTGCCACCGGAAGTCTCCGTTACTGTTTACTAAAAGTTGGTTGCTAAGGACGCGCAGTGACGCGCTTTGTGCTGTGAAACGCTGGAGATGCGCTCGAATAAACCGCACGACGCTCGCACTAAAGCGACGCCTGCGCGATTCCTGCCGCCTGCGGTGAGAGTCTGACTGCGCTTTACCACAGTATTAGCAGCTCTGGAGTGTCTAGTGTTTGAGTCTCTCTCTCTCTGTCTCAGGGTCACAGCTATCAGCAGCATCTGGCAGCAGTGCGCTCTTTACTGCCGGACAGACGGAGCAAACCCATCCTCAACGCGTCGGAGGTACATAGCATTCCCACACATGACATGAAGTCAGAACATATATGACATCTAGTACAAATTGGAATAAACTTTAACACTGTGACTTTGTTGTTTTGTCAGCTTGATCTGAAGTTATCAAATGACCTGCAGAAAGCACTGAATGTGGACTCATTGAAACCAAACCCGTCCAAAACCGGTACAGAACACTCTGCTGTCTGCTAATATACAATCTGAAAATACTGATCTGTCTGAATGGAGATCACCTGCATTCATTACATGTCAGTGATTGTTTCGAGTGCTTTATCTTTATGCATCTTTTATCGTTTATGCATATATAAACAGCTGTGATCTGCTTTCATCTGTGTGTGTGTGTGTGTGTGTTTGTGTGAGTGAGTGAGTGTGAGTGTGTGTGTGTGTGTGAGTGAGTGAGTGTGTGTGTGAGTGAGTGTG